GGAGGTGTCCAGGAGAGGCCAAGCTATGAGCCAATGCAGGCTGCCGCTAGTGCCAGGCCTGGGGCCACTTATCAAGCCATATGGGGCATGATGCCGCTTGTTTGAGAGATTTTAGGAAAGTCCTAAGCATTAGGCTAGAGAGGCCACTTGCACAGAAAAGCCACTGGAAATAGCTTGGATGAGCTTGCAAATAGGGAGGGGCAGGACTTCTGGGAATCACTGGGGTGGGGCCAAAGGTGTGTCAGGTGCTGGAGATTCAAATATGGCGCCTGCCTGCTGGCTCTGTGGGGGAGGACTTGCCAAAGGAGCAATGGCCTCTGCCAGCTCTTCTGTCTGGGAGGAAGCTGCCCCTCCACCTCTAGCCCTGATTTCAGGCAGGTTAGTTCCTCCCCAAGTGTCCCGGGTTCCTTTCAAGCTGCTGCCCGGCGCTGGGCTCAGAGGGAGGCGTCTGAGTGAGTCTGTGCGCGGCCCTTTGAGAGGAAAGCGTGGGACACCCGCAGCCTCTGGGACCCTCAGCCACAGTCCCCGTTGGTTTCACAGCCCAAAGCTGTGGGGCCTTCTCTTCCTGGCCCTGGAGCCCTGGGCTGGGGGCCTGATGTGGGACTGAGGCCCCTCGCTCCTCCAGGGACCCTCTGCCCCCGGGATATCCCTCCCGGGTTTGAACCGCAGCACTTGGTCCTCTGCCCAGTCTCCGAGATTCAGCCCTGATCTGCCCTCGCCTCCACCCCTTCTACTGGTCTTGGTGCTTCTTCAGTTCCCTGGTTGTAGGGCTTCTGTTCGGCCAGATTTCAGGAGGCTCTGAGTGATGGCGGTTCTGTATTTTAGTTGTAATATTGATGTGGTTGCGGGAGGCGGAGGGTACAGCTGTTACCTGTGCCACCCCCTTGTTTCTCCCCAGTGTCAGCATCTTGAAGGGGCCCTTCTCAACCCCCTAAGCTGCCTTGGTGAGAGAAACATTTGAAGACTCTGAGGCTTTTTTTTAAAAACAGCTGTTATGTTGTCAAGGGTAAACTCAGTAAGAAAGGGAAAGAAAAAAGGGTCTCATATTAAGCACTTACTTTGGGCCAGGCCCCTTCCATAATGATCTAATATCAAAGCCCAATGAGTACACTGCCAAGCAGGCTGTGGTCTCCTTTCACCCAGGAGAAAACTGAGTCCCAGAGAGGACCTTGCTGAGCGCCACATAGTTAAGTAACAAGGCTGGGACTGGAAGCCAGGCCTGTGACTGTAAGACTTCTCTTTCAAATGCGCTGCAATGCCTGGGGGAAGGAAGAGAGACTGGCAACAGGAGGAATTTCCATTCACACCGAGTCTCTGGGTGAAAAGAGAGGTGCATCTCTTTAAACCCACATTCACTGAGCTTTTATGCTACTATGCTTGGGACAGATAAAACCCAAACACAGGGGGATTAAAGAGTCAAGTAGAAATGTCACACATGTAGCTGGGACATAGGAGCTAGATGCCAGAGGTCCACTTCAGATGGGAAACTAGAATCATTTGCTCTGTTCACAAACTGGGCAGGAGCAGGTCAGCTGCCAAAGGGTCGGCTGCCTCTACCCGTGTGCAGTCAGTCTTAGGGGAAGAAGGAAGGGAGAGGTGGTGAGTGAAGACTGGCCACTGGGTGGACATGGGCTGGGAACCAAAGTCACTGGATATGGCTGCAAGGGCCCAGGAAGTTGTAGTTGGTTTCAGCAGGGACTCTGGAGCTTGGGGTCGAAGCCCAGATTCATTGCTTACAGTCTGTATGACCCTGGGAAAGTCTACTTAAGTACTCTGTGGCCCAGGTGCTTCATCATAAAATAACGATACTAAAATTACTTGCCTCATAGTGATTGTTGCAAGTGTTAGATGAGATAATACAAATAAGACACTTGGAGAAAATATTCTCAGTCAGAGGTGAGCACTGAACAAATGAAATCCGTGTTATTGAAACTGATGCTCACTATTTGCCTATTTTCCGGATGCTGGTCTTCAGGTGAGTGGGGAAAGGTGGAGGGGCAGTAGGGCTTGCATCCCACTGGACTGGATTGGAGTCCTGGCTTTGCTGCTTGAAACTGTGTGTTCTTGGGCAAGTTACTTTGCCTCTCTAAAGCTCTGTTTTCTCATTGGTAAAA